GCCCCATAAATTGCTGATAGTGTTGGAAACTAGCTCAACCTTTCCAGATTGCAATTAGGCACTGAAACTGTATCCTCTGACTTGGTGAGCCCAGGCTGGGAGTAAGAGTACAAGGAAATAATTCAAAAGAAATATATGAATAAGAGGTATAAAAGTACCATTTATAATAGTAAAAAGGTAGAAAAAATAAAAGAATAAAAAGGATTGCACCAACTACAGCTGTTGGCTGAGAATGGTGGCTCACACCTATAATCCCAGCACTTTGGGAGGCCAAGGTGGGTGGATCACTTGAGTCCAGGAGTTCAAGACCAGCCTGGGCAACATGAGAATGTCTCTACAAAAAATTTAAAAATCAGCTGGTTGTAGTGGCACAGACCTGTGCAGTCCCAGCTATTTGGGTGGCTGAGATGGGAAGATCATTTAGCCCAGGAGATCAAGGTTGCAGTGAGCTGTGATCATGCCACTGCACTCCAGCCTGGGTGGCAGAGTGAGACCTTGTCTCAAAAACAAACAAACAAACAAATTTTTAAAACTACAGTTGTCAGTGAATGGAATACTATACTGTGATTTTTTTTTTTTTTTTGAGATGGAGTCTCACTCTGTCACCAGGCTGGAATGCAGCGGCAAGATCTTGGCTCACTGCAACCTCCGTCTCTTGGGTTCAAGTGATCCTCATGCCTTAGCCTCCTGAGTAGCTGGGATTACAGGCACGTGCCACCACACCCAGCTAATTTTTGTATTTTCAGTAGAGATGGGGTTTCACCATTTTGGCCAAGATGGTCTTGATTTCTTGACCTCATGATCCGCCCTCCTCGGCCTCCCAAAGTGCTGGGATTTACAGGCATGATCCACCGCACCCAGTCTGTGATTTTAAATGAACAAATACTTAAATGAGTAAATATAAAATATTTTACGCTATTCAAGAATTCAAAAATCATAAAATCATATTCTGTATGTACTGACTGCTACTATAAAAACTATGTCTTGTACACTGACACAAATGGATGTGAATTTAGAGTAAAATAAATATAGTTTTACATTTAATGGATTCTCTTTCCTATAGAGAATATATTAAAATAAATTTTAATGTTGGGCTATTTTTGGGCTTGCTGTTCAGTTTTATTAAGTTAGTGTTATATTATTGCTATTTTTGTTGTACTCAGACTCACTAAAAAACCATTTCTTCACTAGGCACGGTGGCTCACGCCTATAATCCCAGCATTTTGGGAGGCCAAGGCAGGCGGATCACCTGAGGTCAGGAGTTCAAGACCAGCCTCACCAACATGGAGAAAACTCGTCTTTACTAAAAATACAAAATTATCCAGGCGTGGTGGCACATGCCTATAATCCCAGCTACTCAGGAGGCTCAGGAGAATCGCTTGAACCCGGGAGGCAGAGGTTGCGTGAGCCAAGACAGCGACATTGCACTCCAGCCTGGCCAACAAGAGCAAAACTCCATCTCAAAAAACAAACAAACAAACAAAAAACATTTCTTCAGCTTTGGCATTTGGAAACATTTATTAGTTATTGCACTGGAAAGTAAAATGACAAGATTCTATATTTGGCCAGTTTCCCTCTCATAACTCAAACTTCACCTGCATCTCATTTTTTTCATGTGAAAACAGAGAAAAACAATGCAATAATGTTTACAAGCTGACACTGAGCACCTCCAATGAAAGGTGCTGGCAAATACAAACATGCGGGGTGCAAAAATACAAAGCAAAAAACCCACCACCAACCACACTGATCATCTTGCACAAGTTACTTTTATCCTTCTGAGCCTCAACATCTCCCTCTGTAGATTCGAATAAACTGGCTAGAATCGCATAGGGTAGGGGGAGGATTTGTGGAGGAAAAGTAAGCATATAATAGCTGAAAAAGCATCATAGTTGATCCTCCTGAACTCTCTGAAGATCATCTACCTAGCCACACATTTTGGGGGAGAGGATACAACAGGCTGTTGGTACAACAGCCTGAAAACAGGTGACAGTTTGGCTCCATATCTGCAAATCAAAAATGCAGACATATCCCTTGACCCAGTAATTCCACTTCTAAAAGCATATTGTTCAGATAACTTTGCAAATGAGCACATAACACAGTATGTACAAGGACATTAATTGTATTGCTGTAATATAAGAACCTGGAAACAAATATTTAACCCAAAGATGTTACAGTACAGCCATACAATTAAACAAGTAAAAGAATGTCAACAGAAAGAATAACTCTCTCTATATATTGATAATAGAATGATTTCCTAAATATGTTAAGTAAAAAAAATCCAGTAAGGTGTGAGCAGTACGTCCCATGGTGGGAGGAGTATGGACAAGCAGGCACATAATTATAAAGGAACAGTGTCTATGGAAGGCCATATAAACTGAAAACTTCAGCCATCTCTGGGGAGGAGGTTAGGGAGACACGAGACTTGGGGCCAGGGTAGGAGGGACATTCTTCTCTACATACTCTTTTGTATTGCTAGAACTTTTGAATTTTTCTCTCATTTGCATTAATTATATTTTCCCAAAATGGAGCAGGATTCCCTCTACACCTTCCTCAGGATCTAAGAGGCTGTGATTCTACCTCTGTCAGACCTGACCAGTGCCTCCTATATTGCAGGAACATCTGCATTTGGTCCTATAATGCCCCCAAATGATCTTTCCAAAACTCTTTCAGCGCAAGTCCCTGGCCTCCTTTAAATCCTCTAGTAGCTCTCCAGCTACCTGATCCAGCTATGATTAACCTCTTCCCTCCTCCCCAAGGACAGTGGATTCCTTCCACCACCAAGTCTGCTTGTGCTGCTCCCTCTTGCCTATGTGTGCAGTCCACCATGGAAAAACTCCTATGCATCTTTCATGATCTGAAGAACCCCCTGTCCCAGGAAAGCTTTCCCAAATCACCCAGGCAGGGGATGCTCCCTGCACAGCCTGGCAGAGGCTCTGGAAATACATTGCCAAAATTCAAATCTTGACTATTCCCTCATTTGCCCACTGTTTGGCCTCAGTTTCCAACCCTGTAGAGTAGGAATAAGCCCTTTTATGACTTGAAAAGACTGAGGGAATTCATGGAAAACATTTATTACATAGCTTATCACAAGGCAAATAAAATATAGCTATTATTATTACAATCTTATAGCACCTGTGATGTATTTATATCCACCTGTCCTACATTAGACTCTGAGCTCCTCAAAGGTAAGGACTGACTTCTTCACTATTGTATCCCAAGCAATTCATCTGACAAAATGAAGGCACATGAATGTACTTAAGCCAGAGGATTGGTTTTTCTGGTTCTGTATTTCACCCAGATGTTAAGTGGCTAAACAGAGAACAGCTACCCAGATCCCAGGATGCCTTACAATGCACGTTATCAGCCAGGCCGCTTTGAGCAGGTAGAGGTGAAAAGAGACTGATCGGCTTTTAGTCTTTCAGACACAGTTTTTTGGAGGCCAGTGGGATATGGGACCTACCAGTTCCCACCCGCTGACTGCTTATAGGGCCTGGGTGGGATGGACATGCAGAAGTGCGGAAGCAGAAATACTAAAAGTCCTGGGCATGTACTCGAAGCAGGCCTTCAAAACACGAAAAAATCTCTTGGGAAGTGGATACCGGGAAATAAACAGAGCCTGGGCATAAGAGAAGAGACTGGAAAGAATCTACAAGACAACTTGGAGGAAGAATTCTCCCAGCATGGGAGACAGAAAGGTGGGCAAGACAGCTCCTGCCCACAAGAAGCTTCTCAAATGAGAAGAACTTTAAAAGAAAAAGTAGAGCTTGGCAGGTAAAGGTGGGGAAGAAAGAGGATCACATAAAACAAAAACATCCCAACATGTGACGGAGCAGTCAAGCAGCTCTGAATAATAGCCAGCAAGGGGGATGAGGGGAAGGAGAATTGAAGGATTAGATTAATCTAAAAGGAGTAAACTGAGGCAAGATTGTCAAGGGCTTTGTATGACCTGATAAGGCATTTTAGGCTTCATTCATCCCATGAGAAAAAGAAAAGCGAAGGAGTTTTTAAGTAAACAAGTGACAGCATCAGATCTGTGTTTCTGAAAGGAGTGGCCAGGCAGGAAGATGTTCGCCCTTTCCTAGTCAGTCCTCCTCTCGCCCACCATCTTCTGTTTCTCGGGCTGCCTGCATAGCTGGCAGGTGGCAAACGAAGCCGTCTCCGGGGTGATGTGGCTGGTTCTAGAGCCGGAATTCCTCTCCTGGGCAAAAGCTTCTGATGGTGTTCACCCTGCAGAGGGTGGATCTGCACATCTTCCTTTCCTGTCTTACAAATATCATCAGAGATCTTAAAAAATAAAAACAAAACCCTCAAGACAGGACTCAGCTCTGTTATTTTTTTTTTTTTAATCTTCAGGAGATATAATCAGGAAATAATTTTTTCAAATCTTTTTTTTTATTTACCGAAAGTAAAAATGGAGGGGACCTGCGCTCTCAATTGGCCTACTCTGAATTCTGGGCAGCTCTCAGCCCTTATTTCCCTTCTTAAATAGCCTCAACAGTTGGGAGAGGGCGGCAAGGAGAGGGGCCTGGGAGACCGGCCAGGGGACCGAGGGAGGTGGACTTGAAGGGAAAGAAAAGTTGGTCACTGCAAAAGCAAATTTTCTCATGCCAGGAGTTTTCCTCTTTCCTCCCATTAAATGGACTTGAGCAAATTCTGTTCTCGCCATTCTAAGTTTCTTCTCTGAGAATGAACTCTGGCAGTGCCCTGGCCTGGTCCCAGGAGGACGCACGCAAAGTTCCTGGGCAGTCGCGAGGGATCGGTGCCCGGGCCGGCATGTTTCCGGGGATCCCCTCCCCACGACGGACCCGCAAGGATGCACAATCAAATTGCAGGCGCCCGCAGGCTTCCACCCGGAAAAGAGGGCTGAGGGCTGAAGGCTGAGGGCTGAGGGCTCCGGGTTCCGGGCTCCGGGCTCCCGGCTCGGGCCCGGGACCCCTCCCACTGCCCCCGGGGACGGCCCCCCCTTCCGAAGCCCACCCGGGCGCAGCGGCCGCGAACACTCACAGAGTCTGGCGTTGGGCGGGACCGCTGGGGACGAGGAGAGCGGCTCCGCCTCGGCTCCGCGGCGGCGTTTCGGGCCGCCACTCGCCCTCAGGGCCGCCGCCCGGCCCGCGGCTCCGAGCCCCGCGGCGGCGGCGGCGGCCTCGCCTCCATGGCGAGGGGAAGCGGCTGAGGGGAGACTGGGCGGGCGGCGGTGATGGCGGCAGCGGCCGGGGTCCCAGCGCGATCGCGCGCGCCCGCGTCTCTGTCAGCGCCGCACTCGCCGCAGCCTCGCTCCCGACCTGGCCTTGGCTGTAAAACGCGTGTTCATTGGCTGTTCAGAGACAGGCGCTGGTTGGCCGACAGCGAACGGGCGTCTCCCGCCCGCGCGGGCCCCGCCCTTGTGCACCGCTGGAAGCTCACTCTCTGGCTGGGGCCCCGAACCCGGTTCCACGGTCTCCAGATAGCTCGGGAGGGGTTCCCCCCGGGGCCGCCCAATCCTTCAGGAAGCTGGACCCCGGAAGGACTGGCCGCGGGTGCACCAGTGCCTTCCGCCACTCTACAGTCACAGGCCCCAGGACTTGGGCCTTCTTCCCAGTTTACAGATGAGGAAACCGAGGCCAGGGACAAACTACACCAATGTCTAGCCACCAGGGCGGCATGGAACTCGAGAGCCATCTTCCTAATCCTCTCCAAACGTGATACTGTGGGTCTTTTTTTCCCTCCCCTAATTGCTGCAGGTTGAACGACGGATCTCACTGGGGAGGGAGAGGAACCTGTCAAGTCCCTAGAACGGGTCTGGCTCCGTGGGTGTCATCTTACACCAAGTCAGCCCACGCCGTCCCCACCCGAGCTCCAGGGTAATCTCCGCGGCTTTCCAGATGCGCATGCTAGGGCCCTAATCGCCACCGAGCTGAGTAGAAGCACAACACGTGGTGTTCTGCGATGGGGGTGCCTTTTGCGATAGGCCTGACGGGGCAGGGGAAGCGCAAAACACAGAGAGGAGCCAGAGTGCGCCCTCCCCAGGCCGGGGTTGGGGCGCGTACCCCTTTCCCGGCGCTCCCGGCACCGCGTCTGGCGCGTGGCACCCCCGAAGCAATCGCTCAGTGCATCCAGTGGCAGCAGGTTCCTACGCGGATCCTCGCGGCTGCTGCAGGACTTGAGCGTCTGCGGCTGAAAGCCGATTACGCAGTCGTGATAGGTGGTAGCAAATCCGACATTTCGCCGGGTTTCCCCAGTAGGGGCCCCTGGGCGCGCAGGGCGAGCGGCTGGGCGTCTGCAGGCAATAGACAGATTTGCACAGCAGCGCGCAAACCGAGCTTGCGGGTAGGGGACGCTTCATCCCCGACCCAGGGTCTGCGGTTCCCGGGGTAGGTGGCAGTGAGTCTCTCCTCCAGACCGGGCAGCCCCTGAGGCCCCCTCACGCAACCCAGGCCTGTTTAGGACTCTGTGCCCCACTCCTCCGTATTGTGGAATAATTTAGTCCATGCTAACCAGAGCCATGGCCTGGCAATATGGGTGGGACGGGCCTCAGGCTATCCCCTCCCCAGCAGGGAAGTCTCTCCTTGAGTGGAAGTTGTGACACTCTCTCTCCCTCTCAGCAGGACCAGCCTAGAGGTGTGGGTGAAATGGCCGAACCCAAGACACCTCTGACCAAGAGACACTCCAGCCCAAAGGCCCAGAGTCCACACGCCTAGTCTCCTAACAGACCCCAGTGAGGGTGGATCCTTTCCCACACCCAGCATTCACATTTCTCCGGAAGTCCAAACTCAATCTATCCCCTGACACCGAATGGAAAAGTGAAAAGCTGGAAGTCAAAGTGTGAAAACCCCTAACAAGTAATGACTGCAAGCGCAGGAGGTACCCCAGTAGCTAGGATGGCAGCCCTATGCTCTAGAACCAAATTCCACCGGCTTACTTTTGTCTTATATCTAATTTACACTATTATTTCTTAATATGTTTCTTTTTGTTGATTAGTTTTTTACTTGTAGTTTGTGTTACCCTAGAAGGGTTGACATGCTACTTATATTTTCAATATAATTGAAATAGTGATTGCAGTAAGTGTTCATTTTTGAGACTATCTGAAGGACCCCATTTGGATATAACCACATGGGAAAATTGTTGTTGGGCTTGGTAGTCAGAGAGCCAAGGTCTCCAGCCCCACCATGTGCTGGGTGACCTGAGCCTCCCTCTGCAACTCTTCCTGGAACTTCCCAGGGCTGTATTGAGAATTAGGCATGTTCAGCTTGGCAAGTAACCCATTCTCAGGAAATGAAAGTCCTTTGTCCCCATGAGACAGCTGCACTATGGTCAAAGCATTTGTGGTGTGTGCACAGGGGTGACAGAATTAGACCCTGGAGACCCTCTGGGAAGGAGGGTTCAGCTCAGCAACCACACAGATGCTGTTTCCATTGGAAGAAGAGAGAGCCCCCTCCTCAGCTGCCTGCCTGTAGAGACCTGCCCAGCCCTCCATCCTACTTGGCTCCCAGAGTGTCCTGAGCTCCCTCACCCATCATCATCACAGAGTAAAGGGTTATCCTGGGAGAGAAGAGAACTGAGGAAGGGAGGGGAAGCAGTTTCCTGTGCCCAACCCTACCCAAATGGGGAACTGCAGAACCCTCCTCCTCCTAGTCCTGCATTAGTCCCAGCCCATAGGAGCACATACCTACAGGTAGGCATTTCTCAGCCACCCCACAGGTACCCCAATAGTCACAGGGTTTATGAGCAAAGGAGAGGACCAGGAGAGCTGGAGGATGGGGGGAAAGGACTCCTGTTTCTTTAGGCAAGTCACTTCCGCTCTCGGGGCCTCCTTTCCCCTTCTAGTAAATGGAACAATGAGTCATTCTTGCAACAAATACTTATTGAGTGCAGACCATGTGCTGGACACAGCAGGGAATAAGACAGAAGAGGACAGAAGAGGCCTCTGCTCTCAGGAGCTTACATTCTGGATAGGCACACAGACAAACAAATGAACAGGAAAATTTCCTAAATGCTGAAATGAAAATAAAGCAAGGCAATAAGATAGAAAGGTGAAGTAAATGAGAGCCAAGTCCCTTTGCAGGCCACTATTCAACCCTAACAGTCTTTTACTCAAACTTTGTATCTAAAAGAGACAGGACATACAGCCCCTTACCCTGAGAAGGTGAGTTGTAGGAGCCTTCGCCCTGATTCTTTCTTTTTTTTCTAAGACGAAGTTTCCCTCTTGTCGCCCAGGCTGGAGAGAAATGGCGCCATCTCAGCTCACTGCAACCTCCGCCTCCTGGGTTCAAGCAATCAAGCGATTCTCCTGCCTCGGCCTTCCAAGTAGCTGGATTACAGGGTCCGCCACCACCCCCAGCTAATTTTTTTGCATTTTTACTAGAGACAGGGTTTCACCGTGTTGGCCAGGCTGGTCTCAAACTCCTGACCCCAGATGATCCACCCACCTAAGCCTCCCAAAGTGCTGGAATTACAGGGATGAGCCACTACGCCCGGCCTTTGCCCTGATTCTCCCTGCACTGGCTACCAGTGATATAAGGAGAAGAAATGTTTCCAGATTCTTTGCCTCCAGCTACACAGTCCTAGTCCTAGCCCCAATCCTAGCCCCACACATTGGACAAAACTTGGCCCTGCCCATCCCTGTAGGCATAGGCCTGCTGTACAAACTGCTCAGGGCAGAAGGCATCTCACACTAATTTCAATTGAGCAAGTAAGGATTTGAAAAAAGAAAATCCCAGTTCTGGTTTTTAAATGTCACAATTTATAGACTCATATATCTGTCAAAACTCAGAAAATTACATTTAACATCTGTGGATGGCATTGTATGTAGATTGTGCCTGAAAAGAAAAAAAAAAAATTGCAAACTGAAAATGAACTCTAGTTATTGAAATGCATTCTGAAGTATTTAGGGGGAGGTGTACTGATGCTGTAACTTACTTTGAAATATGTGAAAAATACGATAGATTGACATACAGGAATGGATAGATGAACAGATGTGTGATATAGTAAGATGCTAATGGTAGAATCTATGTGGTAGTTATACAAATATTCACTGTAAAATTATTTCTACCTGGCTGTATGTTTGAAAGTTTTTATAATAAACTGTGGAGGTGGGGGGCATATCAGTAACTTTACACAAAAGTATACAAAACTGCCTTTAACTTTGAAGTAACTCTCCCCATAGACAATTCCAATGCTTCTCTACATGCACACACACCTTTTATAAAGTTGAAATCACTGTTTATATACATTTTTCATCATTGTTAAAAGTTATTTCTTACATATTTCTAAAACTTCATGTGTATAGTGTTTAATGTTTACATAGTCTATGAGTAAATATACTGTATGTTACTTTGGGGATGTGGGTTTTATATTGTGTACATTCTAAAAGCACTGGCCAAGCCTCCCTTTCCAGAGAGGAAAACTGTGTTGTTTGGTAGCAATCCTTTTTCACGGAGAACTTGAAAAGCTGGGAAAACATTTTTTAAAGGCATCAAACAGCTACCAGGGCAGTGAAGAATTGTGGGGCCAAGACTGGAGACCAAAAAAAAAAAAAAAAAACAAACAAAAAAAAACCCAGAATGATGAGCCTAGTATTGGGGATTATTTCCTTTCCTCTTGTTTGCTGATTCCAAAATGGAAAGCTGATGAGCTGTGCCAGATTGTGATTCCAAAAACTAGTCACAGTATTTCCAGAACCTTGCTACTCTCTTGTCAGGAGGTACAGTCCAGGCCAGGTTCAGAGGCTCATGCTGTAATCCCAGCACTTTGAGAGGCTAAGGAGGGAGGACTGCTTGAGCTCAGGAGTTTAAAACCAGCCTGGGCGTCATAAGCAGACCCCCGAGACCCCATCTCTACCACCCTCCCCCCGCAAAAAAAAAAAAAAAAAAAAAGAGGTGGAGTCTATTTCCCCTTGAAATTGGTGGGGTGGGCCTGTATTACTGCTGTGACAGACACTCTAGCAGATGTGACACCATGTAACTTCCAAACCTAGGTTAGAAAGGTAGTCCAGATTCTACCTGGCTCCCTCTTGAGATGCTTGCCCTTGGGACCCAGCCACCATGTTGCAGGTGTTCTGGCAGACCACCCCAGCTAAGGTCCCAGTTAAGGCCCAGTGTCACTCACCAGGCGTGTGAGTTAGCCAGCTTTCACATGATTTCAGCCCCTAGCTGTCAACCTTTTAGTCTTCCAGTTGATGTCTCAGACACTATGAAACAGACACAAACCATCCCTGTTATAACCTGTCCAGATTCTTGACCCACATAATAAATGGTGAACATGATAGTTATTTAACATTTGACTTATATCTCCTTGAAGGACTTTCACCAACTTTCATTTACAAGTCAGGTTGGAAAAGGAAAAAAAGAAATACCTTCTCAGGCCCTGAGTCTCTCTCTCTCTATCTAAAAGCATGGTCGGCCCTGGGGGTGTTGAAGAGGGAGAGGCCTGAAGCTCCAGTGAGGCCTGTGCTCCCTCTGGCTGTGGTTTCCTCCTTGTAGATAAAGTGGGGGCAACAAAGGAAAAGGCAATGCCCTCAGTGTTGGGTGGGGCCCTGGGCATGAAGTCAAGGTGCACTGGAGTCCAGACGGAAGGCTAGATAGGGAGAGCAGAGGACCCCGTGGGTGCTCCTACAGATGGTGGGTCTAGTGTTCTTTTTTTGGCAGAATTGAAATCTTCCATCCTCCTTTTCTATTTGGCCCAGAGACAACTTGAAATTGCTCACCATAGTTCAGTGGGCAAGAGTTCCAAAGGCCACCACCCCCTGACCCCTATGGCCCGCACACCTCTCATTAGTCCTCCAATTGCCACTGCAGTGCAAATTGGGGCCTTGCCTCAGGCTCCCTTCTCATAGAGGGCCCGATTCCAGTTGCAGCTTGCATTTGGCCCTGGGTTTCAAATCTCTGTTTTGCCACATATTTGCTATTATCAAGCTCCCTCATCCTCAATCTCCTTTCTGTAAAGTGGGGTGATGTTACCTCACAGGGCTGTCATGAGGAATAAATGAAGTACAAACGGTAAAAGTGTTTAGTATGGTTCTTGTGTGTTTACACGCACACACACAGAATGCTTTACAGTGTGTTCTTGGTGAACTAGTGCTTAAGTTTTGTGCCATCTCTCCCTATAATCCTCCTAGGGCCTGGGAGCTAGTAAAAGCTTTCCTTGTTAACTGTGGAGAGGACAGGTTTCTTCCAAGTATGGCTGGAGAAGCCCCCACCTCCAGTCCCAATACAATGGAACACATGGAGTTTTGCTGTGGTGCCTGGAGGATCCTGTCTTGAGCTTGTCTTTGCTTAGGCTGGACTGTATAAGACAAGCACTCTAAAGTGTTCCAACTTTATTTAAAACCAGAGAGCCCTTCTACCATGCCCCACCTCCTCAGCATTGCTCTAGGGGAGGAGCTGGATGAACTATGGCCCTTCTGCCAAGCCCAGGTGCTAGGGGAGGAACCCCTTGCTCGAGATGTACAGGATGGACTCCTCACTTCTTCTGGGCTTGTGCCCTGGCCCGTTGAATCTTGTCAGCTGTGGCCCCATCTGTGGCTCCCGTGCAGTGGGATAATACGAGGCTCAGCTCAGCCTCACTCCGGTGTTCGATGGCCACATCTGCAGCCTGAGCCACATCGCTGTGGTTTGAGCAAGAGAGGAGGTGGTGTCAGGGCTGCTCAAGGGCACAAACCCTGCCTCTCACCAGCCCACAGCTCAGCCACCCAGCACCCACAGGCCCTCAGTTGACGCACCCAACAAGAAGCAAAGCCTTGACCTTCTGCTCGGGACCCACACGGGAAGCATACTTCTTGGCTTCGTATTTGTTGTGTTGTTTCATGCAGATCTCCACAAAAGGCTTAGGAGGAGAGGAAGCGGGTGGAGGGAGAAGGTAATGCACAGCCCTCCTGTCCTCTCTCTTATGAGCAGAGGCCCAATGGACACATTGTCCATATATATTTTATATGTATACGCCTATCAGTACATATAATCTCCCAGTCCCACGCACAGACAGTTGTGATCTCAACATTCTTAGGGCAGAAACCACCTAAACGAAAGCTCTGTCAGAGCCTTGAGACAATTATTTCCACACTTCTGCTCTGCCACCCACCGTTACCCCTTGCAACGGGTGTTCCTGCCACCAGCCCTCACATTTCCTGTGTTCTCCTGTGATTAACATTCTCAAACCTCCCCTCTACACCTCTGAACTACCCACCACAGAAAACAGCCCTCGGTATCTCCACTGCCTCTCATATGCACCCTCCCTGTCCCCCCTCCACCCTCCTCAAACAGGACTTTCCCTCCAGCACATGGCGCCCCCTGTGGCCCTCCCTGGGGAAAGCAGCTCATTCTCCCTCCCTGTAACATCTGCAGGCAAACTTGGACCCATCCTCCTATACACCCAACACAGTGGATGGTGCCTGCCCACGAATGTGTATACAGGAAGCACTCGCTAACTATGCGGGCAGCTGAACAGGAGCATGAATGGGCCATCCCACCTGTCTCCCTGCCTAGCCCTCTCCCCCGAAGACTACCCTCACTGGAAGTGGGCTGGAGAGAGGACCCTGCCTCACCAGGTAGCCAATGGGTGATTTCTTGCTCTTGGAAAACTTCTCTAGCTCTTCCCAGTCTTCCAAATCTGCCAGGGCAGTCAGCTTCAGCCACCAGAGCCTGCAGGAAAGCTGGGCTTGGAGGTGTTCCAGGAGAGGCAGGTGGTCTTGGGACCCACATGCAGCCTGGGCCCTCACCTACCTCTTGTCAGGGATGCGGAAATCACGTGCCAGCTGCTCTGCACGCTTGTTGTGACCGCCAAGAATGAGGGTGGTAACCGTGTCATGTAGAGACAGGTCTAGGAACTCGCCCCCCAGCTCATCTTCTAGGCGCCGCTGCAGCCGTAGGAGTCGCATTTGATCCTCTGTAGCCTGGGGACCCGGATAATGAGGCATGATGGGGATGAGGGACCAGGAGGGAAGACCAGGAGAGGAGAAGGCTCTTAGAACAAGATGGGCCAAACCTTGGCTGCAAACTCATTCTTGGCCTTGTAGAAAGCATCGGCGGCTGTTTGCAGAGCTGCTACTCGCCCCTCAATACGCTACAAAGACAAGAAGGAAGGCCTGAACTCACAGCATGCAAGACCCCAGCCCTCCTCACCCAGGCTACAGTCTTCTTCCTGATCCCTGAGTCCAGGGTTGCCAGGGTCAGCCTTCCCTGCTAGGTGCACCACTCCGATGTCCTAGAGGGATGGCTAGCTCCTCTGACACTAACCCCCATCCTGGCCTCACGTCAGACTCTCCCTCACAGTGAGGACCAGATGTGGTGTGCACCCAACACGAAGGCCTAGATTCCTGAAGGAACCAGACCAACAGCCCCAGCCCACAGGCTCCACACGCCCCATGGACCTCAGACCTCTTCTGCAGCATAGCTGGCTCGGATGTGGAAGCTGCCCAATTCCTGGTGATTGTCATCCTGATTGTAAAGGTCCTTCAGCGTCTCTAGCTCCTGATGCTTACAGAACTGGGGCCACAGGCAGGCAATCAGTCAGCAAGGCCAACTCAAGTGCTCAGAAGACTCCACCGCAACCCTGCCCACTACACACACCTGTCGGTACAAACTCAGGGCCATGGGCTGATTTCGAAGGGTCATGAAAAAATCTCCTCGGTTTAGCTCATTCTTCAGGTGCAGCAACACCGTGAAAACTGCAGGAGAATAAGGTGGGGTGGGAACTCCAGCCAGGCTCCCACTCAGCCCAGGGACCCCCCAGCCTTGCCCTCACCCAGATCAGTGTCCCCGCTCTCAATGGCCTTGCTTAGTGCCAGTTTGCTCCTCTTCATCTTTAGGAGAAGGGGTACCTGCTCCCCTGAGCGTGGCTCATACTCCAGCAGCTGTGAGGTGAGAAGGAAGGCACAAAGAGAAAGAGCTGGCGTGGGGGCCCTGAACAACCACATCAGAGTGTCTGTGGAGGGCTGGGCACCCACACCTTGATGGCCAGCTCTGTGCGGCCACAGCCATAGGCTCGTGCAGCAATGTCGGAGTAAGAGACACCAGGCGTGTCCCCCAGCTTCTGGTTAATGGCTCGAGCCACATCCTCATCTGAGACATCCTTCTGTTGAACCTGCAAGGGATGTGGGGTGTCACAAACATCTGGATGCTATTCCTCACTCTCCACTCCTGCAAGCCCTTAGGACCCAGCCCTTCAGTTCCCTTCCTCCCTTCCTTCCTTCTTTCTCTCTCTCTGTATCTCTCTCTCTCTTTCTTTTTTGAGACAGAGTCTTACTCTGTCGCCCAGGCTGGAGTGCAGCAGTGCAATCTCAGCTCACTGCAACCTCCACCTCCCAGGTGAAAGTGATTCTCCTGCCTCAGCCTCCCAGGTAGCTGGGATTACAGGCATGCACCACGACGTCTGGCTAATTTTTATATTTTTAGTAGAAATTTTGTAATTTTTTTATTTTTTGTTTCACCATTTTGGCCAAGCTCGTCTCGAACGCCTGGCCTCAGATGATTTGCCCGCCTTGGCCTCCCAAAGTGTTGGGATTACAGGCATGAGCCACTGCGCCCGGCCCAGTTCTACACTTTCTATTTCCTCCATCTCACCAGGGCCTGGAATCCCCTAAATGCCCTTGGACCCCATCCCACATCCTTGCCTTGTAGCAGGCCCAGTGGGCCAGGATCCTGCTGACGCCCTGTACTTCAGGAAGGCGCAAGTACTCGCATATCTGGATGGCCAGGGGGTAAAGTCTCCGCAACACAAGCCTGGTAGACCCGGTGGGTAAAGGATACAAGGAATGAGGTGGAGGAAAAAGAGGGAGCAGAGTGGTCTCAGCCTGCACGTCAGGCCTCCCACATCCTAGAGAGATAGGTCAGGAGCAGTAAACATAAGACCCCACCCAAGACTATAATGCCCACCCCCCTGATAGCTCCCTCACTGCACCCTTGGGCTTACCCTACCTGTCCAGTAGCACCTGGATGGTGAGCTGCTTGTATCTTTATTTTCCTCGGTTAAGGATCCAGCTGGAGAATAAGCCCTGCTTGCCAAGTACCTGCAGACTGTATCTCCAGCCCCTTCCCCTGCCACCCCTGGCTGTAGGTACCCTTCTGGCATGCACAGGGATACTGGCTATAGGTGAGCGGGATCCCAATGTGATAGTCCCGAACAGCATTGAGCACACGCAGGTCCTGACACATGTGCACGAAGCTGTCGGGTGGAAATCTGTCCAGGAAACACTTTCCGAAGGAGGCAGCCTGAGAAGAGCCAGAGGGCAATAGGAGAGAGCTTCCCTGCTACCCATCCCACCCCCTCCCAGCCCCGCCCTCTCCAGCCCGGCCATCCAGGCCAACCCTGAGCAGACTCTTCTGCATGTCTGGCTGGTGCTCATGTCCTGCGGCCTCAATGCACTGCTGCACAGCCTGGGTCAGCTGGCCCAGCTCCTGGATCTCCCGCAGGTACTCGTCCGCCTTCTGGCTCTCTTTCTGGTGGGGAGGAGTCCAGAGCCAGGGCATCATGACAGAGAAAACTCCCACATCTGGCCCCTAACCATTCTGGGTTGTGGTTCAAATAAGCTGGTTTGGAGGGGCTGCACAGGCTGGAGCCCCAACTCCCTCAGCCCACTCAGTCCACCTGAGGTGCCCATAGACATCATCCTGTATCAGCCCACAACTGCCTTTGGGGGGCCTTGAGAACTCCTCCCAATAGTAACCCAGACTGGGTGGGGATAGTGGGGATGTCCTGCCCGTCCCTATCACATCACATGGAGGACACAGTGTCTCTTCAATCTACCTGAGCCAGCCCTCCCCAGCCCAGACCAGGGTCCTGCCTGGACCCCTCTCTTGACAGGTGGCACCTGGCTATGCTCACATATGCCCACGCAGGGGCAGGGGCAGGAGGAACCATCCTGGGACTGGGAGAGAAGCCTAGGGCTTTACCTCATACTCCTTCTGAGCCTCCAGGAGCAGCGCCCCGGGGGCCATTGAGGCAATTTTGAAGATCTCCTCGCTGGCCGCTGGGGAAGGGAGTTGGTGAGTGAGGGAGAAAGGCAGGGAAACCCTCAGCTCTGCCTCAACACCCTATTCTTGCTCTGCGGCACTGGCCCAGGGCAGCTGGGGTGCTGAGGAGTCCCCGCCTTGGGTTACGTGGTGCCCTTGTGAAGGCCTCACCTGGAACCTCATGCAGGAACTCGTGGGTGCTGCGGGAGAAGATGCGGACCCCATCAAGCTCAGGCACCAGGTAGGAGTCCTCGTCCAGCACAAACCTGAGCTTGGTTAAGGCTCCTAAGATCACCTACAGATGGGACGGGGCAGGTGAACCCTTCCCTCCCCACCCTCCGCACACAGGCAGCCCTCCAAGGATACTGGATGCTCTCGGGTGCATCACCCACCACCATCAGCCGCCTTTCCCAGGCCACCACCACGGCCCTCTCCTTGCTACGAGGACGGCTGCACCTGTGAGCAGCATACACACACCAGCTAGACACCGTCCTACGGCCATGTCTCCCACATGGCTGCTCACAACCCTTTGTCTCGCGACAGCCTGTATACACTTGCATCCCTGACTGTACACCGACTTCTCCACTTCCCTCTTTTCCCTGCGCCCTCAGCTCGAGGCAGCTGTGGCCCACAGAGGACAATGGTTTCCTTCAAGTGTGCACTGGCAGAGAAGGTAAGATCCAAGCTCCACTAGGCTTGGCCAGTAGACATGACCAATCAAGGAACTGATTGTCCCAGGAAGCAAGCTACGTCTCACCCGCACCCCCAGCAACAACACCCCCATCCTCACCAGACCATCTGCTTTGGAGGTGCCCGGATGTTGCAGTTGAACTCACATAGCTTCTCCTGAAATGGTGTGGGCAATGTCATGGCCCTGTCCCAGCAGTCACCATTCTAGTCGAAAAGCCCACCCTCATCTCCAAAAGATCTTGTACCCTGGACAAGGCACAGTACCCCTGTGTTGCCCCAGGATCACACCTTGAGTGATGCTGTTCCCATCCAGATGTAGCCTGTGTCTGTGAAGAGTGCCAGGTGTCGGTAGGTGAAGGAGACAGCCATCTGTAGGAAGCTGCTTACTCCTGGGGCCAGGCCAGGGGGCGTCTGAGGCAGAACCAGGGTAGGGGTGGGATAGATATATACTGACTTTTCAGAGCCTTCCTATTGCCTAACCCAGCCCCTCCACTTCATTCCCACTCAAGGCCCTCACCACTGAGGAGCAGGCTGCATGGTCCAAGAGATAAAGATCGGGCCCCACAGCCAGAAGAATGTGTGCCACTCGGTCCTGGCACAGCGTAGTCCAGCAGGAGGGTGCACTTTGCAGACCTATGTCCAGGGAAAAGGACAGTGTTAGGATGACCAAGGCCCATAGTTGCTGCTTCTATAGGTCTACAGCCACAGCTTCTGCTTTTATGGGTCTCACAGTCTAGAGGCACATCTGTGGGTACTGCTTGGCTATCTCAGTGGTGTCAGGGCTCACCTGGCACCTCTGGCATCCGGCGGAGTTTGAGGTCACCCACATTGGCACTGAGGGTGAAGCGGTGGGCCCCTGTGAGGATGGCCACTCCAGAACCAAACTCAGTGTGAAAGATCCGGGCATCCAGAACCCGGTTCTGGAGCACTTCCTAAGGAGAGTGGCCATGGGTTAAGGGAGTCATAGGGTCATAAACTCTACCCCGCTTCCCCAGCCCTCTGTGACCCCTACATTGCCCATGCTGAAGTGTCTCCGGAAGTCACCATGAAGCCCATAAACCAGTACCGCACCATCTTCCTGCACACAGAGCAGCTCCTCCTCAGCTGACCAGCCCAGGGACACCACGGGTCCACTCTTCCACTGCAGGGGAGAGAGGTTCCTGAGGCTGTCCTCAGATGAGGAAACCCTGTCCAGCCCCGAGCCCCAGGGACCATCAGAAGTACTCACCAGCAGGCTGGCCAGGGGCATGCCGGAAGCAGAGTATATATCGAGCACTGGCCTCACACTGGCAGCTTTCTCCTTCCGCCAGGGGTTCCTCAGCAGTGCTGCAGTTTGAGAAGAGACTTTCTGTCCTAGCTCCCCAGGCCCACCCCATGTGAAGTAGGCCTCACGTCCTGGCTCCCCAGGCCCACCCCATGTGAAGCAGGCCTATAAAAACCAGAAGTAAAAGCATCTCAGCAGGGTGAGTAGGAGGTGGCAACAAGAACAACCTGACAGCAAGGACCCAGGAGTCAATGACCTTGAGTTCATCCCAGGGTCCCAGAACAGGTGGTGGTGGAGGGGCAACATACCAATGGGGCCCCCATAGGGTGCAGCAGCCACCAGGCAATCTCTGAGTTCCTCCTTCAGGTCCCAGTCCATGCTGTACAGCTCATATTTCCTGCCCACACAGAGATGAGCAGAAATTAGCCTCATTACCCTGCATCCGGATGGAGTGAACCCCGAGGAATTCCTAAAGCCTCCATTTGTCTTCCACAAGGCCGTAGAGGAAGTCTCCACCCCCTACCCCCAGAGGCAGGGAGGAGGGTGATGACCAGAAAGTTGGGTAAACTGACCACATGCATGCCTAGGGACAGCAGGCGAGGGAGCAGAGGGTGTTGGCAGGGAAGGATGTGGTTATTGGGGCAAGTGTCCAAGGATGGCAGGAGCTCTTGAGCCAGGCAGGCTGTGTGGCCAACATCCAAGGCACAAACTGAGATAGAACTAAGGTGAAGTGGCTGGCTCAGGCCAGCTTTAGCAGGAAATGAGACTCTCAGAAAGGGTCTCTCAGAGAAGAAAGCCTTTCTTCTATTTCTAGTTCTTTTTTGAGAGAGGGTCTTGCTGTGTTGCTCAGGCTGAGGTGCAGTGTCACAATCACGGCTCTTTGCAGCTTCGACCTCTCAGGCTCAAGTGATCCTCCCATCTCAGCCTCCTGGGTAGCTGGAACTCCAGGGTGCACTATCACACCTCGCTAATTTTTGTATTTTTTGTAGAGATGGATTCTCCCCATGTTGCCCAAGCTGGTCTCAAACTCCTGGGCTCAAGGAATCCTCCTACCCTGGCCTCCAAAGTGCTGGTATTACAGACGTGAGATGCAGTGCCTGGCCTATTTCTGGTTCTTAATGAATCAGGGTGTGGGCTTTATACCCAGGGGTTCAGCTCTATGCTTATTGACAATGAACTTAGTTTTAGAGGTACTGAGTTAGCAGTGCCTGAAAGAAATCCAAGAGGAGCTTTTCAGTGAGATGGTGCTGGGAGGAGTCCTGGATTGGGGATGTTAATCTGCCAATGCTTGGCTTATGGGAGGCAACCAAATCACAAATCACAACGAGGCATGAGACGACTGCAATGTGAAATGCTCGTGGATCACTGAGTGTGGCTGTACGGGAAGTCAGAGTAGGGAGCTTGAGGCACGTCATTATACCTCAAGAACGGGAAAAGGGGTAGCAAAAGGGACAAAGAAGGAGTGGGCACTATTCCAGGGTGCCAAGAGAAGACAGTGTTTAAGAAGGGCATTTTAGCCAGCATCATTTCAGGGACCTTCTCATTAATGATCAGGAATATGCCCACCATTACCTACTATTTGACATCCTTGTTGTGGTTCTAGGCAACATAATTTAAGAAAAAATAAAGAGATGTTTGTATTTTGACGAAGGAGCAGAGTTGTTTCTATTTGCAAATAATGTGATTGTCTACTTAGAAAATCCAAAGTAAGGGGTGCGGTGGCTAATGTCTGTGATCTGAGCACTTTAGGGGGCCAAAGTGGGCAGATTGCTTGAGCTCAGTGGACTGAGACCAGCCTGGGCAACAAGGAGAAACCCTGTCTTTACAAAAAATACAAAAATTAGCTGCATGTGATGGTGCATGCCTGTAGTTACAAGTAGCATGCCAGCTACTTGGGGGGCTGAGGCAGGAGGATCGCTTGAACACAGGAGGTTGAGGCTTCAGTGAGCCAAGATAGCATCACTGCACTCCAGCCTGGGTGACAAAGTGAGACCCTGTCTCAAAAAAGAAAAACAAAAAACAAAAAACAAAAAACCCAAAGCAGTCTAGGGAGCAATGAATATGAGACTCTCACAGAGGGTGTAGGGTGATCAACAAAAATCAATATATTTTCTATACCCAGAAATTTTCATACCATAACAAGAATCTATTGGAAATATAACTTTTCGAGGTGAGGTGGGCAGATCACTTGAGGTCAGGAGTATGAGACCAGCCTAACCAACATGGTGAAATCCTGTCTTTACTAAAAATACAAAAATTAGCTAGGCATGCTGGTGGGCACCTGTAATCCCAGCTACTCAGGAGGCTGAGGCAGGAGAATTCCTTGAGCCCAGGAGGCAGAGGCTGCAGTGAGCCAGGATCATGCCACTGCACTCCCGCCTGGGCAGCAAGAGCGAAACTCCATCTCAACAAATAAACAAACCAATAAATAAAATAAAAATAAAAATGCAAAAATTAGCTGGGCGTGGTCATGGGTACCTGTAATCCCAGCTACTCAGAAGGCTAAGGCAGGAGAATCACTTGAACCCAGAAGGCAGACGTTGCAGTAAGCCAAGATTGCGCCACGGCACTCCAGCTGCCTGGGTGACAGAGTGACTCCATCTCAAAAAAAAAAACACACACACACAAAAAAGAAAGGGCCAGGCGCTGTGGCTCATGCCTGCAATCCCAGCACTTTGGGAGGCCAAAGCGGGCAGATCATGAGGTCAGGAGATCGAGACCATCCTGGCTAAGATGGTGAAACCCCATCTCTACTAAAAATATTTTTTAAAAATTAGCCGGGCGAGGTGGCGGGCGCCTGTAGTCCCAGCTACTCAGGAGGTTGAGGCAGGAGAATGGCGTGAATGGCGTGAACCCCAGGAGGCGGAGCTTGCAGTGAGCCGAGACTGTGCCACTGCACCCCAGTCTGGGCGACAGAGCAAGACTCCGTCTCAAAAAAAAAAGAAAAGAAAAACAACTTTTAAGAGATCCTAATAATTATGGCAATAAAACTATAAGATATCAAATAATAAATCTAACGAAAAATTTTACAAAATCAAATATTTTCCGAGGATATAAAAGACATGCGGCAATATCCAAAATAATCTATAAATGTACAGGAATTCCAATAAACACCTTCTGCCAATTATCTGGCCAGTGGAGGGGTAATGCACAAACTGATTCTGAAGTTCATATAGGGCAGTGGCTCACGCCTATAATCTCAGCACTTTCGGAGGCCGAGGTGGGAAGATCACCTGAGGTCAGGATTTCGAGACCAGTGTGGCCAACATGGTAAAACCCTCTCTCTACTAAAAATACAAAATTAGCCAGGCATGGTGGTGCATGCCTGTAATCCCAGCTAGTCAGGAGGCTGAGGCATGAGAATCGCTTGAACGTGGGAGGCGGGGGTTGCAGTGAGCCAAGATTGTGCCACTGCACTCCAGCTTGGGCGACTGAGGGAGACTCCATCTCAAAAACAGAAAAAAGAAAAAAAAAAGTTCATATGGGGGAAAAAGGTCATCTGAAAGAGGAAATACCACAAAATATTTAAGAACATTTTGAAAATATGAGAACAGATGTATACCAGATATCACACACTATATAAAATTAATTAAAACTATTATTTTTGGCACAGGAATGTGCAAATAGATAAATGGAAGAGGATGGAGTCTAGGAAAAGATCTCAGAATTGAGCAAATAATAAAGATGGCATTTCAAATTGGTGCAAACTGATACCCGAAATGAGACAATGGGCCATATAGGAAGGACCACAATAAATGCTATTTAATTATTTTACTTCTGTGTTAATATATACATAAATGCTCAAGAGACTTCCATACTAAACCAGAGACAGTGATTACCTTTGGGGAGGGTGGTAGATGGGGTAGACACCTGCAGAGCTGTCCATTTTTATACTACAAGCATACATCATTTTGTTTTATTGCGCTTTGCTTTATTGCACTTTGCAGTTACTGCATTTTTACAAATTGAAGGTTTGTGGCAACACTGAGTCAAGCAAATCTATCAGTGTCATTTTTCCAACAGCATGTGCTCACTTCATGTCTCTGTGCCACAATTTGGTAATTCTCACAATATTCTAAACTTTTTCATTATTATTATATCTGATAAGGTGATCTGCAATCAGTGATGTTACTACTATAATTGTTTTGGGGTGCCACAAACAATGCCCATACATGATGGTGAGCTTAATGGATAAATGTTGTACGTGTTCTGACTGCTCCACCAATGAGCTGTTCCCCATCGTCTCTCTCTCTCTCCAGGCCTTCCTATTCTCTGAGACACACAGTGTGGAAATTAGGCCAATTAAAAACCCTCTAACTGTTCAAGTGAAAGAAGAGTGGCAAATCTCTCACTTTAAATCAAAAGCTAGAAATGACTAACCTTAGTAAGGAAGGCATGTGGAAAGCCAAGACAGGTCAAAAGCCAGGCCTCGTGTGCCAGTTAGCCAAGTTGTGAATATAAAGCAAAAGTTCTTGAAGGAAATTAAAAGTGCTACTCCAGTGAACACAGGAATGATAAAGTAAAGTAGCCTTATTACTGGTAAGGAGAAAGTTTTAGTGAACTATGTATAAGATCACAGCATTCCCTTAAGTCAAAGCCTAATCCAGAGCAAAGCCCTAACTCTTAAATTCTATAAAGGCTGAGAGAGATGAGGAAGCTGCAGAAGTTTGAAACTAGTAGAAGTTTGTTCATGAGGTTTAAGGGAAGAAACCATCTCTATAATATAAAAGCATAAGGTAAAGCAGCAAGTACTGACATAGAAGCTGTAGCAAGTTATCCAGAAGATCTAGTAAAGATCATTGACAAAGGTGGCTGGCTAAACAACAGATTTTCAGTGTAGATAAAACAGTGTTATATCGGAAGAAGATGCCATCTAGATCTTTCATAGCTAGAAAGAAGTCAACACCTGGCTTCAAAGCGTATGAGGACAAGGCTGACTCTCTTGTTGGGGCCTAATGCAGCTAATGACTTTAAGTTGAGACCAATGCTCATTTTACCATTCTGGAAATCCTAGAACCCTTAAGGATTATGCTAAATCTACTCTACCTGTGCTCTAGAAATGGGATAACAAAGCCTAGATGACAGCACATTGTTTACAGCATGGTTTACTAAACGTTTTAAGCCCACTGTTGAGACCCACTGCTCAAAAAAAAAGATTCCTTTAAAAACATTACTGCTCATTGGCCAGGCATGGTGGCTCACACCTGTAATCCCAGCACTTTGGGAGGCCAAGGCAGGCAGATCACAAGGTCAGGAGTTGAGACCAACCTGGCCTATATGGTGAAACCTCGTCTCTACTAAAAATACAAAAATTAGCCAGGCATGGTGGCACGCACCTGTGGTCCCAGGAGGTGGTGAGCCTCTGCTCAGGAGGCTGAGACAGAGGAGTTGCTTGAA